CGTGAGAATTTTTATAAAATGTTTTATAGATGGCACATGGATCCTGCAACTATGTCTCGCATTTATGAGAATTATGAATCCAAGTGCTGGAGGTGTGGACAACAAGATGCAACTTTTTTTCATATGTGGTGGACTTGCAAGGTTATTAAGGCCTTTTGGATAAAATTGTGGTGGAATTTACAGCAAATTTTTAAAAGAAATTTTTTTTTTTTGCCTCAGTTGTTTCTCCTAGGTATCACACAAAATTTGGATGTAAAAGAAACGAACTTGATGTTGTATTGCTTAACTGCTGCCCGTTTGTTGATAGCTCAAAATTGGAAGAGTAAAGTTTTACCTACAATGGAGGACTGGAGATTGAAGGTTTCGTATCTTGCTGAAATGGCAAAAATTTCGGCTTATTTGAAGAATCATTCAAACGAACAATTTCTATCAATATGGAGAAGATGGATTGTTTATATTCAAAAGAAGCATAGAATGGTGGAATATAATTTAGGTTTTTAGATAACTTGTTTCTTTTTTTACATATTTCACCTACTTATGTAGAATAATATTCTGTGGAGTTAGGGATATTAATAGTAGTTTACTTTTATCTGAATAGTATCCTGGGATTAGGTTTGGGAAGTCCGGGGGGTGGGGGGTGGGGGTGGGGTTTTTATTATAGCATTGTGATGTACTTGTGATGTGTTTTTTTTTTTTTTTATGATGAAAATAATAAAAATTTATACTTGAAAATGTATTATTGTTTCTATGGAAATAATGAATAAAAAAACTTAAAAAAAAACAAGATTAAAATAGCATGGAAAATAATTTGCAAAACGAACTGAAGCATTTATGGACATGGAAGGCTAGATACCTCCATCTACAATTCCATGCAGAGAAATATAGAAAAAAAAATTGAATTAAGTATTGTAATATCATCGCGGTCCTGTGTGTTCTCTGAGCTTGGTTTTTATGTATGTTTTTTTTCCTTTGAGGATGTAAGCACTTTTATTTTTGTGGGGTTTTTTAAATCATTGTTTTAAAAGCGATAAAACAGTTTCACTTTAAAAAGTGAATATGCAATAGGTGGGCGTGGCATTCTTAGCTGTGCTCCTAGATTTAGAAAAGGCAGCCTAGCATGGACAAACTTCCTGCCCGGTCTTTTTTTAAAAAAAATATTTTAAAACATTTAAAGAATTAAATAAATGACTAAACAACCTTTAAAAATAAAAGACATTGTGATGGGAAAGTAAAACGCTGGAAAAATCAACAGGGACTTTTCAATCATCATAAATGATGCCATTAATTATTGAGGGGGTCCTTGGTGCTCTCTCTGAGCTGGCTTGTTCCCTTGCAGACGTTTCACGACCCACACTAGGACTAGCACTGATGAAGTTACCTAGTTTGGGTCAGGAAACGTCTGCAAGAAAACAAAGCCAGCTCAGAGAGCAGCAAGGACCCTCTCATGTCAACCCTGAGCTACGAATATTCTCCTTTATTAGTAGTACAATACATGATTTCATGAATTCAGGGATCCCACCCAAGCAAGTCGCGCCTTCAGGGATGTCGGGGGGGGGGGGTTGGAGGGCAAAAAAGTCACGAATGGGGTCCTATCGCAGGTGGTGCCCAAGATCCTGACCTTGCAACCCACCTAATTCCCCCCCTTCCTGACCCAGCTGTCCAAAATAAGCTGTTGCGCCCCTCCAACTACGGCACGGGACTCACCGAGGCTGCCTTCCAGGAGGCAGGAAGCGGCGGCCCCGAGAAGCCACAGGAGCCCCCAGCGCGGCAGCATCGCTTCGGCTGTCCCGCTGAGCGGCCGCTTGCAATGAAATTCTCCGCGCTTGCGCTTTGGAACCCGGATTCCCAGGTCAGGTGGAAAGCTGGAAAACCCCTCTCAGTAATGAGAGTTTACGCTTAGAACGCTGGGAGATATTGTCGAACGTGACGCAATAATAGAGGATCGTGGCCAAGGCTGCGCGGGATGGGGCTTGCTGGAATCCGGAGGGGGAAAAAATACCTTGCCCAAAACAGAATGCGGAAATAATAATAACAACACGGTCCGCTTTCACACGAGACGGGCAGGCAGGTGAAGAAGGCAAGGCCGACGGTGGCCTTGGCGCAACGTAATAGAGCAGAGCAGAGTAGAGTAGAGTAGTTGGAAGGAACCTTGTAGGTCATCTAGTCCAACCTCCCGCTCAAGCAGGAGACTCTACCAAAAAAAGAAAATATATACCTATACATGTACACACTATACATATGATAGAAGAATAGAATAGAATAGAATAGAATAGAATAGAATAGAATAGAATAGAATAGAATAGAATAGGATTAAGTGAATGGTCTTCAAAATGTAATATTGAAAGAAAATTTTAAAATTCAATCTGCTGTGTAGTGGAAATTTATTGAGTGGAGAAACAAGCCTGTCAAAGAGTGTAACCTCATCGTATCTCAGCCAATGGGGAATGAGGAAGGATATGGCGGCCCGGACACTATTCCTGTATTTGAGGAGCTGTCACAAAGAAGGGGGGGGGGGAGGTCAGAAGCAAAAATGTGGGGGAGGTTGTCTCATTTGGGGAGTCCGTACAGCGCCTGGCACAGAGCCCCAAGGCCAGCCCTTCTCTCTCAGCCCCAAGGAGGAGCCAATGGCAAATCACTTCTGAAACACTTGGTCAATAATAATAATAATAAAAGAACCGCAGTCGGGGCAGTCGCCAGGAATCACAAAAACTGGCTAGATCAGGGGTCTTCAAACTTGGCCCATTTTATGACTTGTGGACTTCAACTCCCAGAATTCTTCAGCCAGCCTGCTGAGTTGGTCCACAAGTCATAAAAGGGCCAGGTTTGAAGACCCTTGGGCTAGATGGCACCAAAAGGGGGGAAACATCACCAGAGAGAAAGCTGGAGACTCAAATGAATTTTCTTCTGCACAGAAAATGTTCAAAGACTCGGCTGGCACCTTAAACACATGTATTTCATAGGGGAGGGGGAATCCTCAGTCTAATCCCTTATTTCTTATTATTCCAGAGTAAAGGCATTCATTTTTCCAAAGCTCCAAACTTCTTTGTTGGGGGTTTTTTTGGTAATAAAAGCCATTGTTAAAAGGTTAAATTAAATTTTAATTAATTAAATTATTTTTCCAAAAGTTAAACTCCCCAACTCTGCCCAACCTCAACCACCCTGGGAACAGACCTCTACTCGGCTTAGGTGGTGTGCACAATGCACCGGATACTCCTTGCATTGTTTTTTTGTGCGGTTTCCTTTTACCTTTTGAACTGTTCACCAGCTGGATGAATAATCCATTTGCCGGATGACGTTGCAACTGGTTGAACACCTGTACCAAAGGCACAGTCTATGGGGGGGGAGTTATGCGGTGGGGTGCCTGAGGTCCTGGCTGGAGCAATTATTGGGAGTGGGACAGAACTGGTAGAAGTCAGTGGGCGGAATTGGTCTTTCTCACTGCACTCCATAAAGTCTGGGAGCAATTAGAAACTACTCAGAAAAAGCTATAGCCGCAACATGAAAAAGTGACTGCTTTTAAAGATCAGCTTTCTGGGTAAGATAGGGTTTGAGGAGACAAGTTGGCTGTCCATGTTACACTGACTTTTCCAATCAGAAATATTTAGGGGTTGGAGGGGGCACTTCAATTTCCTAACATTTAGATCAGTGGTTCTCAACCGTCCTAATGCTGCGACCCCATGCACCCACGTGACCACACGTGACCCACACACACGCACCCACGTGACCCACACATGACCTACACGCACGTACCCATGTGACCCACACGTGACCCACACGCATGCACCCACGTGACCACACGTGACCCACACGCACGACCACACGTGACCCAGGAGCATAGAGATGGCTCTCCTGCTCGAGCTAGAGCGACCCCCTCAGCCGGCCGAATCTCGCCGCCGGGAAGGAGAGGAGAGAAAAGAATGGGAGAGGGGACAGGAGAGGGGGAGAAAGGGGGGTAGAATTTAGAAAAGAAAAGGAAAGAAAAAGAAACTTTTGTGCAGAGCCGGCAATCATGGAGCAAGACGCCCGTTTGGTGCGGAGGCAGGCAAGCCCAGGTGCTCCTGGGCGGCCATGGCAAGCGGCAGCGACGACGCAGGCCGACCACCGGCTGGGCCACCAGCTGGCCCAGCCCAAGGGAGGTAAGGCACCCGCCGGGCCCCACGCGCACCAGCAACCCTCCCTGCGCCCGCCGCTGCTCTGCTAGCCTTACCTTGGCCACCGCACGTTCGGTGCGGCGGCAGGCCGGCAGGCCCAGGCACTCCTGGGCGGCCATGGCACACGGCAGCGAGGGCGCAGGGCGACCACCGGCTGGGCTACCAGCTGGCCCAGCCCAAGGGAGGTAAGGCACCTGCTGGGCCCCACGTGCGCCAGCAACCCTCCCTGCACCTGCCGGCCTCCCACCTCCCACCCCTGGCCCTCTTTTACTTACATTTAGGAGTTGCTCAGCAGGGAGGGGTGGAAACGTCCAGAAAGCTCGCCTTAGCTGCAGACAACTTGCAGCACCGTTTGCAGACTGGGACTTTTGGCGGGCTCAGCAGGACAGAGACAGCCTGGACAATTCCTATTGGCTTTTGAAAGCCAATAGAATTAGACTCTTTTAAAGAGAGTCTATTCTGAATAGAGTCTATTCTATTGGCTTTCAAAAGCCAATAGAATAAGAGGGAGTAGCACAGCTAAGGAAAAAGGGGAAAAAAATGGCGGGAAAAAAATGGCGGACTGCGTTGTTTGGCGACCCTCGTGAAATGGTTGTTCGACCCCAAATGGGGTCGCGACCCACAGGTTGAGAACCGCTAATTTAGATTGTGCCTGAAAATTTTATATAGTATGTAAAAAAATCTTCTTAATTATTGTACTTTTAGTCTTATGCATTTGAGAGCATTCTAGATAATAATAATAATAATAATAATAATAATAATTTAATTTATATACCGCCCTTCTCCCGTAGGACTCAGGGCGGTGCACAGCATATTAAAACAGATACAAACAAAATACATCAAAAAACAAAAAACCCCCATAAAACCAAATTAAAAGCCAAATATTGGAAGCTGTGTGTCAATTAAAATTTTCTTAAAATCATCCCTAC